ACACCACACACATACACACCACAATTGGTAGGCCTAATGAATTTGACCTTCATCACTGCAGCCCTACATACACACACACACACACACACACACACACAGTGTTGGTGAGAAGCAGCTCCAATTACTAATGTACAAGGCAGAAGACGGACTATCAAAATCTCGGAAGGTGAAAACTCCATGACTGTGTGCAAGAAATCCAAGATCCTGTCTGTGCAGCTTGTCAGGCAAGGATAATGTCTTAATTCATCTTCCTACTTGTACAATACTGTGTCATCCTGGCTGTCCATACTTTCTATTTGTCATACTTCAAGTTTTAGCATTTTTGCTTATCTTAGATAGGAGAATGGGTGTACCACAGCAGGATACAGAGACTCCTTATTTTGCCAGAGAAATTTTTGTACTTCTAACAAAATACAATATTTATAATATTTTGATGATGGTATTTCAGGGATGGGCAGTATTATCTGACTTGTCTATCATGCCAGAATGTACAAATCTGCCATTCTAACACTTACTGTTTGCACTTTCTAACCATAATTATCCTAAAATTCCAATCTACCTGAATATTTGCTGGAATGGACATGGGTGCAGTTGTTAAGATGCATTGTGATAGAGGCTTGACTGTTGCATGCTGGGAGGAAGGGGAACTCTGGGAAGGCTCAGATGTCTTGGGAGTTTCTGCCGTCTCCAGACTGGACTGTACCATCCCGGCAGAAGACATTGGGAGGGAACTGCTCATGAACGGACGAGGAATATCCCTGGGGAAGCAATGAACAGCAAATTGAAAATAAAACACTATATATACATGCCCCAAGCTGCTCCTCTCATGTCACCTGTTATAAAGTTAGTCTTTCTTAACATTTGTTATAAAGGTAATCTTTCTTAATACCTGTTATAAAGGTAGTCTTTCTTAACACAGTCCGTCTTGTGAAGCCAAACCTCTTCTGAAGGCAATACTCAGTCATGTTCACTTCCATTAACCATTTGTCTTTGATTGCCCTGCTCTGCCAACCTGTCTCAGCATGGAAGTGGACAAACTAAACCTACCTTTACTCAATTCTTTGCCTGTCAGAATTAGGGAAATTGGGCATACACATGTGTGAGGGTTGAAAATGTCAAAAGTTTCTAGAGGGGGCATGCCCCTGGACCCCCCAGGAAGTAAGATTGTATAAAATTGTTACTGACAGTAAGGCCACACCAAGTAAATTTTATGGATGACATCCGCGCGAGCATTGATTGGCCTGTTCCTAGAAATAAACAACAAGAAATTCCGCTTCCTGTAACTATGACCAAAGAGTCACGACAGTGCCACAAATCGTCAGATTGATGTGTAACCCGTAACGCGAAAACGGGACAGGACGACAACTGTTTTGATGATGAATAAAAGACTTCTTGCTTGTTACACTGTGTCACCTCATTCAATTTGTGTCCTAACATTTGTCATCTCTTAGTATATTTCTAATCTAGGCATCTTGTTTTTTAGGGCCCTTCTTGGTTTTTTTTCGCCCTCTCACATTAGATTTAGGGTCTCCAAAGGACGTCATCCATAAAATTTACTTGGTGTGGCCTAATAGAAGTAAGAGCAGTAGTAACACTGGTACTGTAACAGTTGTACTGTCATGTAGTCTGTGTTTGTGTCATATTTTCTAACTCGTCCATCCTGATATCTAGATTTAATAAAACAGGTTTAGACTTTTGCTAGTATGTACAAACTTTGTGATTGCATTCTGAACCAAAGACAGACAAAGCACACTTATGACAGGCCTTGCTCTAAACATTCAGAGATAATGGCTTTTGAAAACAACAACAAACTAGTGAGTACAGTAACTGTAGTTACCCAAAATCCACCTGAGGAGCGATGCAGAGAGGAGTGATTCTTCTCCTGCCGTCAGGAGTCCTGGTTTCTATTTGTTGTGCCTTCGGGTTCTGAACAACACAATATCCACATTTGTTACATAAATTAAACCACTCTGGAACAGCAGCAAACCGAACCTCTGTTTAAACTTTTTGAAACATTTCGCCAGCACGGCTGAACAGTAGCTGACCTGGCTGTACCCCAGCTGACCACAGCTGACCTACTCCTTACCTAGGTTGTGAGAGATCAGCAGTGTTTATGTGTGACAGGGGTTACATGTACATGTACGTTCTGTGTACAATATAACCCAGCCAAAGTTTTTTTTATAGTCCTCATCATAGGCAAGTCAGCTGGACTAAGTTCCTTTCTGCTATGTCTTGGACTATGTATGCTGACATGTCGAGTAGTAATCTGTGATGTCACAATACAATATATTTAATTAAGATACAATTTTTGCATAAAGCTATAATATAATTTGAATTTGAATTTTCAACCTTGGGTGAATATGCCAGTTCAGTTCAGTTCAGGTCATCCTCAAACAAGGTGTTGAATATGCCATTGAACTGCACTGAATTTGGCACTTCCCTCAGATCTAACAGTAAATTGTTACTATGACTTACCTTGATTCAAATTGATGTAGTCTATTACTTTGGAAGAGAACATACATTTGTTGTACAATGAACCACAAAAAGAGGTATAACTAACAGGTTTTTCGGTTGGACTGGTGAGCATGGGGTTCCTTATCTTGGTAGGCGTCCCGTTGACTTGTTTGTTGGCTGTGAGTTTCTCCCTCTCTGCGGTGTGGTGCTGTTGGAGCTGCAGCATGGCAGGGTTCTCTATGATGGTGTTGTTAGCAGTGTGCTGGGTGGAGATAGCCATGCTCTTCCCATAGATCCTCTGGTGAAGGGAATTCTGAGGGAAGAAAATTTTAATGAAAAGTTTATTGCAAATTCGTGCCCGGGGGCTAATTGCAAATTACAAAACATAAAAGAACAATGAAATAGAGTATAAAATAACTAAAGTCTACATGATAAAGGTAGCTGTCTAGAACAGTATAACTATGTCTAAAACTATGTCTGAAGGGTTTGACTTCTCTTCTGTAAACCATGGAAGACATAATGTCCCACCTTTTCCAAAATTTGTGGGTTTTGGGAAGTTAAAAGAAGAATAGTTTTTTGAGTAGTTGAATAGTTTTTGAATAGTTTTTGAATAAAAATATACATCCTTAGGCCAGAGCAAGTAAATCTTATGGATGACATCCTCCATAGAATCCAAATTTAATGCGATAGGGCGAAATAATTTGAGTAAATATTGGCCACTACCATCTCATCCTGAGTAAGAGGGGTGCCAAGCTCTTCCGGTGTGAACTCGATGTAGGCAGCCGTGCCGTCCCAGGAACACACCAGCAACTCAAAACCACTTTTCCCCCTGGAAGAGGAAAGAGGGGTCCTACCATATTGTAGGTGACAAAAGTTAATGTCTATACATATCAATGTCATCCACCTTTCTACAAAATCTACCAGGAAACTGTCTAGACTTGTCAATAAAAGATGAAATCCTTGACTGTAACAGTGTTAGTACAAGATACAACTAAGCAGAGCAGTGCACATAAGAAATTACAACTGAGTGTTCACATTTACAACAAAATACACAGCCACAAAATTTCTTTTTATCACAGACCATGAATGTACCAGTTGATGGGGATTCTCTAATGGTGATCGGTTTCTGGTCGGATTCTGTGTCAGATTGTAGGATGGGCCGCATTAAAGGGGCGTTTCTTTTGCGCAAAAATTCAAATATTCTGAATCTCGGTTTTATCATCACTTTTCAACACATTTGCGTCATCATTTTGCGTTTCTGGCGTATTTTGTTAGTGCACAAACAGTCCGGTCGATTCCTGGTGGCATCGGGTTGATGCCACTGCTGGAATCAAAACAAACAACGGTTTTCAGTCAGGAATCTTCGGTGAATTCCGGCACGTGTCTGGGCTCGATGGTTCGAACGCATGAGTTTGAAGCCAATTGACTTCAAGTTTGACGATTTTTGAATGGTCAGTTCCTTACTAAAATTTTGTGCATACTTGAAAGTTATCATGTCACTAATTATATTGCATGTGGTAGCCACATTCATACAATTTCTCATACCAAGAAACAAATTTTATGACATATATCAAAATGTATCAAAATGTAGCAGAAACTCAGGATGGTGCGTGTCAGTTACTGTAGCTACATTTTGACCAAAATTGTGCCACTGCGATGTGTGCACAGATCCAGTCCATCTTATCACTTTTATCATGTTTTTATCATGGACACGGCAAAGAAAGGTTTTCTTGAAGGTATTGAAAAAATAATGGTAACGTGATAAAGACGGTACATGTTTACATGTATATGTACTGACCATGAAATGTCCATGACAGAGTTCTGGAACATGTCGTGCACCACTACAAGAGGTCTCTTCAGCGCTGTCAACTGGACACAACAAACAGTACAAACAAGTAAAATCTGAGATTTTATACCTCCGGGCTTTTCATTGTATATTTTATATGTTGTTTACAATAACAATTGTTGCACGCCGCAGGACTAGGGTTTTAAACAAAGAATTTATCGGGACACCCCTCTGTGCGAGGGGTCACCTTCGTGGACGAGACTGACAATACCTAATACTCGCCAAAGGTCAATGGACGCGACCACTTTCACGCTCAAAGGGGTGTTCTGGCGCCACCAAAAGGCACCATTTTCACGCCCGAAAACACATATACAATAAAAACAAAAGAACGTGCATTATCTGCAGCCCAATAGCAAAACATATACCGAGTCTCAAAAGAATCCGTCCACCCAAACGCGAGAAACAGCTGCGAACATGAAAATCTAAATCTCTCACAAAACCCTTCCGCGGAAGGATATCTCCTCCCCCGGAGGTAATGAGGGGATGGTCAGAACAGCACACAGCCAACCCTATCCATCACCCCTACACCAGGATAATCAGTCAACAAGACAGGGAATAAATGAATAGCAAAGTTCTTTCTTTCACAACCATTAATTTTTCAAGCCGACGTTTCGATGACCTTCTGTCATCTTCATCAGGGCAATACTGACTGGTTTACTGTGTACTGACACTAGATGTTGCTTGGTGCATAGTGCACTAAAGGTGTTATGTGATGTAACAATGCCTAGTATGTATGTCACAATTACACTACCTCCCGGAACGCATTGTAAACAGACAAAACTAGCTTAAGTGCACTATGAACTATGTAACACCTTTAGTGCACTATGCACCAAGCAACATCTAGATAAGTGTCAGTGCACAGTAAACCAGTCAGTATTGCCCTGATGAAGATGACAGAAGGTCATTGAAACATTGGCTTGAAAAATTAATGGTTGTGATAGAAAGAACTTTGCCATCCAGTCGTTTACCAACCTGATGAAATTATTTACGGACGAAGACAGGGAATATTTCTGCAATGTAATCAGCAATGAACCTGACCAAGCCTACATGTACTTGTGACAAATTAAAACGTGCTTATAGAAGTTCTGGAACTTACCCAGATAGAGAGGGACCTGTCACGGCTGCCTATAGCACAGCAGGAGAACTGTTGGCTCTGCAGAGGAACAGAACACACAGACCTGGTGATGTCTTACTTACATACTGTATGTCCTCTGAATAACAATGATATTATACAAATAAATAACATATAATATATAACAGCCTCCAGTTCACTTCCGGACTAATTCCCACATCTAGATGGGTTAATATTGTGAATTATAGGTAAAAATAATGTAAGGAATACAATGTATGTAGCAGCCATCGACGACCCCTTGGGGATTAACCGAATTCTGCAGAATTCTGGGAACTGGAGCCAGAATTCTGTGCACAATTGTACAGAATTTTAATAACAAAGGGGTCGTCAATAGTGCTGCATACCGGTTCACTGGACTTGGATCCGGACTTGTAAGAATGTTTAGGTTCAAGTCCAAAACAAGTAAAATCTGAGATTTTATACCTCCGGGCTTTTTATTGTTTATTTTTATATTATATAGGGTTTTAAACAAAAAATTCATCGAGACCGGACACCCCTCTGTGTGAGGGGTCATATACGTGGACCAGACCGAGAATAGCTTAAATACGCCAAAGGTCAACGGTCGCGACCACTTTCACGCTCAAAGGGGTGTTTTGGGGCCACCAAAAGGCACTATAATTTTCACGCCCGAAAAAACATATATAATAAAAACAAAAGAACGTGCATCATCTGCAGCCCAATAGCAAAACATATACCGAATCTCAAAAGAATCTGTCCACCCAAACGCGAGAAACAGCTGCGAACATGAAAATCTAAATCTCTCACAAAACCCTTCCGCGGAAGGATGTCTCCTTCCCCGGAGGTAAAAACCTAAAAGTCAAGAACCGAGTCCGGACTCATTACCATAAAAGACCATTTCACATGCCCCTTTTCTTTCCAAACCACCTAAAACCTGCTGCAAAATGAAGAAAACATTGCCATCGGGCATCGTCAAGTACCGGCCTCCATTTTATGTGGCCAAAGTTTCACCCAGACAACATTGCAAGGTTGCCAACATGCAATTTTGTTGTATGCCATGGGTTTAGGTCTGGACTTACAAGTCCGGAACTGAACCTAAACCTCAGGACTTGAATCCGGACCTGAACCTAAATGTGGGTTTAGGTATGCAGCACTAGTTGTCAATGGCTGCTACGTCTACATATTTCTTACATTATTTTTACTTATAGTTTACAATATTAGCACATCTAGATGTAAAGTTGCTGACATATGGAATTACATAATATATTCATGGTATTAACTTAGACTTTGGTGAGATCCTCATTTACTATCATTATGCATAATTTAGCATCTGATGTTCATCCCTACCTATTATGAAATACTTGCACAAATATCATAACAAAAATATTAATGTAACTGAAACTAATCACACCATGTCCATATTTTTGTTGTATTGGTTTTTTCTAGCTGTAAGGGTGTTCATAACATAATGTCTGCAAACTCAATATTCTACAGATTTACCAATGATGGGGAGAACATCAGATTCTGAACAATCAATATGGCTATGCTAATTAACTTTGAAAATGAATGAGACAAATAAAACAACCAATTTTTAAAGCTCTAAATATTTCTTGGAGGTACATAATGTATGAGGTCTCGGACATCTTGCTCTGGATGTTGGATACATATAGAATACAACACGGGGTATTCCGTATCACCCGAGGTACCAGCCCGACCGCGTGTCGGATCGCCCGACGGCCGAAGGCACCACCCTCAAGGAGGAGGGTGATGCGGAATACACCGTGTTGTATTTTATTTATGTCATACCCACCCAAGAAAACACACCTTTCAATGCGAAATGAGCGAAAATTAGATGTCCCTAAACCCAAGAAATGAAACAACGTCAATTTCCACGTCCGAATTTTGTATTAGAAAGCGGCACGCGCGGTTAGGGCGAAACGCGCTCGAATCGTTCTATGGAACATTTGGAAGCCCCAGGCCGTACGCGTTAAGAACCCCCGGGCCTTACCGCTAGTTATCACACGGGCCGAAACACCCGTATCAAACGTAATCGCGGCCCAGGTATGACATAAATGACAATCTACATGTACTAGTCTAAGACTGACTCTGTGTGTCCTGTACTTGACCACTGACATTCATACAAAATCTCCTTACCTTCCCACTTGCCTTGTTGACTACTTTTTGGAATATGTTGGGATTGAATCTCTGTAAAAATAATGAGATGAATGAGATTTTGGGTTGACTGATTCTACAGTAACTGTTACAGACACTGTCACAATAGTTGTAGCTGAACACTGACAATTTAAATGCCTTTTGTAGGTCCGTAGCTAATTTAATATAAACGCTATTCACATGTCAATGTCATTAATCTCGATAGCATAGCGTTGGGTCATCAAAATGTAATATCAACATACAATTTCTGGCCACATCAATTTAATTTGTTGGTTCTTGGATTCACCTCTTCGTTTTTTCTGATTCCCCCCCCCAAAAAAGATTCCGGTTCTGAATGAACTAAAAAATGCATGACATTTTACCCCCAACAGTCAATGAAAGTCGATTTCTTCCTAGTTGTTACAGTTTTTCCATCTGTCCATGCAGTGGTTTGATTGAAAGTTAAAAATTCATTGTTTAAATAATAACCCAGCCTTTTGTGTTGACTTCATGGCCCCCTATCGTAGCATTTGGGGCTATAATAGGATGCCTAGACCTGTTTTTCTTTTTTTTTTTCGCCCTGTCGCTTAAAAAAAAAAAATCCAAGGAATTAAACTGGTGTGGCCTTACCACTACAGTTATAGCCTTCCTGTGTCCTACAAAGTCCATAGATGTCTTAAATCCCTGCCGCTCGATGATCTGTGCTGTTGGCCCGGAGTTGTTCATGGCATGTGCTGACACGATGTACTGTCCATCAGGCGACCAGGCCAGTCGCAGGACATGCGTGGTGCCTCCACACTGTGGCAAACAATATCATATGGCTTTCTAGTCTCATCGTTTTATTTTATTTACTGATTTGGCTGTTCAGCACAAACAGCCAGAGCCAGTTACCACAATGGAATTATATAATTTTCTCATTAATTATGCAAATTAAGTCTTTATTTGCATAATTGATATCTGCCTGTGTTTCTGTCGTTCTTAACTACATATGTCACGAGCTTGAATAGTCCTATCATGGAACGAAGCTGATTTATAGAATTTCCTCATTAATTGAAATTCCCTCATTAATCATGCAAATTCCATCCATATTTGCATAATTGTAATACATGTATTATTATGTCCAGCATCACTTAAGCTACCTACATACTAAAAATGATGTCGATCCATCAATCGGTTTTTGAGTTATCCTCCTTTAAACATTAATTTCAACAAATAGTTTCAGAGCACTTTGCTACATTTTGTAGGCCTGGAGCTCAAACGCATGTCACTTCCTCCACAGCACAAGAGCTACCTACCATGTAAATTTCGTGACCATAGCATGTATAGATCACACGGTATCAAAACCGGAAGTTCTGCTGCAGTACCATAGCAAGTTGCCAGGGGGCCCAAAATCTAATCATTTTATTATTTATTATTTATTTATTTAATCATTTTGAGGTCTCATCAAGACTTACCCACCTACAACATGTATATACCAAATATCAAGATAGTCCATCAAAGCCTTCTTGAGTTATCGTGTTCACACACACACACACAAAACACACAGAGACACACAAATGCCCCTGAAAACATAAACTTTTTGGCGAATATAAATTAATCAAAAGACTATGATGGAATCTATGTGAAGTCTATATGTGGAGCGGTAATCAGGGTCAGTGTGTGTACAGTGAGTGTACAGTGTGTGTACAGTGTGTGTACAGTGTGTGTACAGTGAGTGTACAGTGTGTGTACAGTGAGTGTACAGTGAGTGTACAGTGTGTGTACAGTGAGTGTACAGTGTGTGTACAGTGAGTGTACAGTGTGTGTACAGTACGTGAGTGTACAGTGTGTGTACAGTGAGTGTACAGTGAGTGTACAGTGTGTGTACAGTGAGTGTACAGTGTGTGTACAGTGTGTGTACAGTGTGTGTACAGTGAGTGTAGTGTGTGTACAGTGAGTGTACAGTGAGTGTACAGTGAGTGTACAGTGAGTGTGACATACATTGTACACTCAGGATAGAGAATCAGCAGGTCATACCATACAAAAGGAAGCTACTGTTCTGCATCATTATCAAGTGGAAACCATGGTGGGGATGCAAGAACTGACTTCTGTTTGCACTTTGTACTGATGGCAGTACAGATTGCAGAATTTTATAGTGTACAATGTCATGTACATGAACTACAGCATGTTGTGTGTTGGGCACTATAGTTGTAGAGTGGTTTTGACAAATCAAGACTTAGTGGAGAAGTGGTCTGTGCCTGCAGTAGTTTTACACATCTCAAGCTGGGGAAGAGATTCCTCATTATTTTTGTTGAAGTTTTGGTGTGAGAGAAGACTCAGAGTTTGAGACACATGTTACTACATGTCATTGATATGACGTGAAGGAGTATATAGGCACACTCATTCTTGGACAAAGTCTGGAGTTGCACAGTTAAAAAGGGGTCTACATGTACATGTAGTTCTTTGTCATGTTGTGAAAGTAATTGTTACCATACAAAACTCACCTCATCAAAAGGTTTGGTGACCATGGCTTCCTGTTGCCAATCCACAGTGCGCCACACACGCAGACTTTTGTCATCGGACTGCAGGGAAAAACAGCCTGAAAACTCACCATTGCTTCATTCAGAAAGTAATACTTAGTGGGTACAAAGTGTATGATTTATTAAGCATAATTATCAAACTAGCAATCATCATGGATTTCTTGCACAACCTATTACAGTTACTGTTACATGTAGTACATGTGCAAGGACATGTAAAGTTCTTATTGTGCAAAACATTTTCCATGACCTGATGATGTAGTGCTCTTCAGGTATCAAGTGTTTTAGTAACCCCACATAGAGCCAAACACCCTGTACAGTATCTTAGTAACAGTTTTTCTCGATAATCTCATACAAGGTCTTTCATCAAGAAACTAGAGTTCAGAGGGCTCATGCCTTCGACAGTGTGATATTGTTTTGGTGGGTGTTGTGTGTACATGTATGTATAGTGTAGGCGTGGCGAACCCCGTCTTGTATTAAGCTAACGAAAGGGTATGTCACCTCGTAAGGGGCGGTATAACCCCGACCAATACGGTCGACCGATGATGATGATAGTGTAGGTTTTTTGAAGATGATTATCGTAGTTATAGCGGTCAGAGAGTCCTTTTGTGAACGAAGCAACATACTATTTCCCAAGCCTGTACCATGTCTTTCTACGAAAATACGGATCATAGAATTCGGCAAAAAAGGAGAGAGAATTGGTCTGGGGAGTCTGGCCGCGAAAGGTTGTTTTCTTCCCTCCGATGTGTGGCGATCCAAACTTCAAAACGGCAAAAACTCCTTCAACTAAATTATTCTTCTATACAGCCAGCATTGTTGAAGCGTGCGATGTCCAATAAGTTGAAAACAATTGCAATACAAATGTTCACACAAATGATTGTGTAGAGTATACCAACTTTGTTCCCGATTAAAACACATTCCATGTTCACACTGGGGGCCACAGACCTGTCAAATTGGCAATCGTTAAGCAAGCCCCTGCTGGGGCACTGAAGCAGTAATATTGTTTCAACAAACAATCATTCAAAGAAAATGTTTTTCCATCATTATATCTGATGTTTACCCTGCACCTATCTTGTTATCAATCTATGTTAAACTACGAGTTTTTAGTAGGTTTTAATTAATCTTTCAATCTTTAAGAGATGCCAATTTGTTTTATAAAGAAATTAAGAATTTACTTTTAAAACTGTAAATACCCACAGTTTGTGTATTATAATATAAAACGAGCTACTAACGCAATTCAGACTTCTGTCTGCTATGTTGTATTGAAAATAAAGTTTCAAAGTTTCCAATGAAAGCCACTGTTGACAGCTTCCTGTCTGTAACTTGTTGTTTTACCCTAGATATAAAACCAGACCAAGACTTCGCCTGCCCTTAAAAATTTTCAATCACCAAAAGCCCACTACAGCAATGTACGGACCTTCCACAACGCTCATTTCCGAACTTGATCTTGTTATCGTCAATGGTACCTTGGTCACAAAAAATCGTGAACATCCATTCGCAGATACTCGAATTATCCTGCTAACAACAATATCGACCAACACAAAAGCTTAGGTCAAATTCAACTAGAGGTCGGAGATCTCATGTCTTCGTCAGTTGTACGTTTTTCTACAGAAATGAACATGTTTATTCTTTACGTTTTAATAACCAATGTAGTCTAAAGTAAAAGAATCTCTGTACTCCCTTTTTTATGCTACGGACACCCTGAAAGAGTTTGCCAGATTTTACAGGCGCACAGGTCTCCAGTGGACGTCATCCATAACAATTACTTCGTGTGGCCGTATGAAATAACCTGACGCATGTCCAACTTTTCCTCCTCCAGCTGAAGTTATAATGAACAATCCCTCATTAAACGTTATTTGTTCCCATCCCATTATGGGGTTCCCCATGCAGCTGTCTCCATGCAAGCAGACGTTGGTCATTATTTTTAAAGACAAAAGGTGCGCTGCAGTGACGTAGGGACCCCCACGAAGCCCATTTACAAACTTAAAATTGGTCTCAACAATAGTAACCTGTCCACCAAAAATGATAAATATCAATTTACATATACAAAAGTTATTTTGCTCACAAGCCACAAACACAAAAGGTGCACTAACATGCCGTACGAACCCCCCACAAAGCCCAGAATTTGCACTCAACATTGGCAACAACGGTAATCTGCCTGCCAAAAATCATGGACGTCGAATTATGCCTTCCATGGTTATTCCACTAAATCTGCAGTCACCCACAATGCGGCGAGACAATTCCATAGTCTTTCTGAATAAGACAACAAGTTTACACTAGTGTTCCCTGGCCGGCCAAATGTGTCTACGAAAGCGCCTATACTTTGCAAGGGCGCATCGGGTGCCAGGCGCCGAAGCGCAAGCAATAAAACGGGTCCGGGAATATGCACCCCCGAGAAATTTGGATTTTTTAAACCTTCCATAACGCATTATCCTACATATTGCGATGCAAAATAACGCCGACCTCTTGACGTTTCACTGTTAGTACGCAAGGTATACTACTGGAAAACGCAACTTAAGAAAAGGGGAAAAACACATACCCTATAGTGGAGGTTTCCACACCAAGAAATCCAAGGAAACTCCACCATTAAAGAAATACTGTTGAGACCTGTAACCTAGCTCATCGACAGCACACACAACACAGCATTATATATAGCACAAATATCCTATGCAAACGAGGCTTACTGCCTATAACCAACCAATAGAAGAAAAAAGGGACAGAAAACTGAATACCAAATAGTATACAAATATCATGGACAGCTATAGCTGACAGCTGTTCTGGCCATAAGGTCGATGACCTACATAAAAGACAGAGCACAACCAATACAGCTGTCCTACTCTAATTGGCCAGAAGGTCGTTGACCTACATACAAGACAACACCAGAACAACAAATAATAAGAACAAGATAACTTCTTTTCCACATTCCTATAAAACAAAAGAGTTCAAACTTACACCACAAAATCTATATTACAATACCTTTACACCATACAAAAATCTAGACCACCACAGTAACATGCCTATCAAATTTCATTAACTTCCATCCACACATACAAAAGTTATCCTGCTCACAAGAAAAATTAACAAAATGCCCCCTGTAGTCACAACGAAACCCCCCACGAAGCTCAGTAACGAACTTAACCTTGGTCCCGACAATAGTAAGCACCACACCAAGAATTATAATCAACATTTTACAAATACTTGAGTTATTTTGCTAACAAGCCACAAACACAAAAGGTTCACCTACGTGACCCAAGGACCCCCCACGAAGCCGAAACTTGTACTTGACTTTGGCCTCAACAATGGTAATCTGCCTGCCAAAAATCATGGACGTTGAGTCATGCCTTCCAGAGTTATATCGCAAAATCCGCAGTTCCCCACACTCCGGCGAGACAATTTCATAGTCCTTCTGACGAAGACAATGACGTAGAAACCCCCACGAACCATTTCCAAACTTGACCGCATTCTCAACGGTAACTTGCCAACTAAAAATCAGCACAAAAGGTCAACTCCATTCATGTAAAACCATCCCACGAAGCCCATTTTTGGCCTTGACAATGCCCATCACTAAGACAACCTGCCTGCCAACCTCGGACCATGCCTTCAAAATTGATCGTGCATAATCTGCCAAACAGTGCCAAAACAGTTTTCATAGCCTTCTTGTCGAAGGCAAATATTCTTGCAACTCCCATATAATGTTTTTCAGTAACGTTCTTTAAACCCCTCTAAAACATGGAACATTAGTGCTTTTTAACAAGTATTCCCATAGCCCCTATGTAGTTTCAGTATAAATTGTGGTTTTGAAAAATCCCCATCATGGCACTCCAACTGAGTGGTTTGTGGAATCCCTGCTCACCTGTGTAGCCAGGTACTTCCCTACAGGATCCCACGTCACGCCTTTCACCAGCCCCGTATGGCCCCGCAGCACAGAAATCATCTCTGGGACATTTAAACAACAGGCAGTTACAACAGTCTCTCAACACACCCACACACCAACAACAGGCAGTTACAACAGTCTCTCAACACACCCACACACCAAACAGGCAGTTACAACAGTCTCTCAACACACCCACACACCAAACAACAGGCAGTTACAACAGTCTCTCAACACACCCACACACCAAACAACAGGCAGTTACAACAGTCTCTCAACACACCCACACACCAAACAACACTCAGTTACAACAGTCTCTCAACACACCCACACACCAAACAACAGGCAGTTACAACAGTCTCCCAACCACACCCCACACACCAAACAACAGCAGTTACAACAGTCTCTCAAACACACCCCACACACCAAACAACAGGCAGTTAAGTACATTCACGACAACGTCTCACAGAGTTTGTCGCTTGTAACGTGGAGAGCTCATGAATAGTATGAAATGCATTTTTTAAATTCAAGTATGTTGCTTACATCAGGGTTCATCAAAGCCTGATCACTTTCCGACAACTAGTGATAGAGCGCCGTGCGTTCAAGCGTGTAAAAAAGCGTCCAATGTTAGGGCACCCCCCGTTAAAGTTACCAGTGCACCCACAGAAAAAAATTGGTTGCACAGCTCCAAATCTGGGTGCACAAAAGTGCAGATGTACCCAGTATTTGGAAGTCTGCATTTATTTAGTACATTTCTGTAGATGTACATGTGTAGAGTGGACAAACCTGGAAACTTGAGTGCGTTCCACACAATGATGGTGTTGTCAATACTGCAGGTAGCCAGCCAGGCGTCCTGGGGAGACCAGGCCAGGTCCAGGATATCTGAGGAAACAACACAAGTCATGATGTCAGTCTGCCAGGCACGATGGTCCAACACTGCAGGTCACACTTTGGCCGACTTTAGACTGACGACGGTATACGATCGCACGACAATCCTTGTGGGCGACAGCTGGCTTTAGACACATGGCCAGAAAGTGTGGCGGACACCCGCAGCACAGGATAGCACGCTGCGCGCCGATTCAAAATGGCGAGAGAACCCGCTTTTTCGACATGCTTGGGTATGAGGCACATGTACTGAGCGGGGCTATACCCGAGTTTGAACCCGGCGTTCGGTGCTGCCGTCGGCCTGGCTGTATTGGCCGGGAAATGTGGATCGGCGGATCGGTTTGTACAGGAGAAGTAGCTGTTGGTGGCAGGGGATTGTACTAGACACATATGACGATATAAAGTCTTTGGTTTGACGACATTTAATGATACAGGCAATGTGCTTGGACATGAAATAACGCTTGCAGGCTTATTTGCATAAGGCCAATGACCTCCCACTTCCTTCGCCGGCGACGGTTCACTTTAGACGGTGGAAAATCCTCCTCGGACCCCCAGCTGAAGGATCGCACGATAGGGTCTGAGGTGGTAGTGACGACGATTCGAGGGTTACCGTCGTGCGACTATTTTGATCGTCTTTAGACGGTGGTAAAATACTATCGCCGGCAATATCTTGACGATAAACATTCGTACGACTGGTTATTACCGTCGTCAGTCTAAAGTCGGACATTGTCTTGGGGCCGATGTGCACCAACAGGAAAATTGCAGGGCACGTGAGTGAGACTGGTTTGGTCACACATGCGCCCAGAATTTTGGCTGGTGCAACCATCTTTGAAATCATGGTAGCATGGTGCACCAATCGAAATTAAGACCAACAACAGGTTCTTTGCTTTGTAAGCACTGTACTTTCCTGTGGATTATAGCTTGAAACTTTATTGCAAATTTATGCCCCAGGGCTAATTGCAAGAACATGATAACAAAAATAAACAGTAAAAAATGATAATAAGTACTAAATGCTAAAGCTACTTGAGATATACATTTTGTAATTATTGTTGGGTTTGATTTCTTTTCCGTGAGCAGTGGAGTATGAAATGGCCGACATTTTGTGAGATATATATGAATTGGGAGTTATATGAATTGTGTGTAAATAGAAATGCAATTTTTTGTAGGCTGGGGAGGCGAATAAAGCTAGGGAACATTTTGGTGACCATTTTAAATAACCTTTCTCTTTCGGTGCTATAATGAGGGTGACAAATAAAGTGCATTTCATCCTCCACTGCATTTCCTGTACAATATTTACATAATCCCGGGGACCAGTACCAATTATACACACCAATCTAAAGGGTAAAAAATCAACTGGAAATCCCACTGTGCTGGTCAAAAAACATTTTCTTCTTTGTTTAAGCTGTGATTGGCTGGGGAAATGCTTTAAATTAAGAAAATATGATTGGGTAGCTACTCATACCTTAGATTTAGGTATATTCATCACAGTAATTTTAGCTTTACTTGCTTCAAGCTCCAGGTAGAAAATGCATGTACATGTATTTTTTGAGTTTGCATCATGTATTTTTTTCTTGTTGAACTAATAACAGGGAAACGTAACCAAATAACGTGGATAGGACAATATGTTTCTGGTGGTGTGCCTAGATTTTTGCTGGTGCGCCCAATTGTTTTGGGTTGGGAG